ATACTGCAGTAGGTTGGTGCAATTCATCAGCTAAGTATAATAGAGTCCGATCCAATTCACTTCCTTTCGCTCTTTAAATCACCACTGCCGACATGACATACCAACTATCAACTACAAGTACAAATGCCTGCTTGCCATTTTAAACTACACTTCTATTACTATTCCATCTAAGTTGTATCTGTATCTTCCTGTTTCAATTACATCTCCGCTTCAACTCCTTCTTCTTCCCACCAAAGGCAAAAGGGAAGGGAGGCATTTCATCTTTTTTCTTTCAATTCAATTCAGACCAAATGCCCACCTTCTCTTAATGCATTCAGTTAGACATTTTACCAACTCCAGCACCACCCCTCCCCTCCCTTTTTGCACTCAGTCACGTGGTCTTAATGTTGCTTCGTTTGCTGATTGAGGTGCACTTTTAGCTGCCGCCTGCGTCTTGTTTGGGTTTAAACAGGGTGCGTAAAATAACAAATCCACCAATACAAATCAACAAGAAAAGCAAGCATTTCAAACCGGGAATCGCAAAAGAATAAAGCCTAGGCGAAATTATGTCCGATTGTAGTATACAGAGAGAATGGCCAATTCCCCGCAGAACCCAACAAAGATTTTAAATTTATGCTGAGCTCACATTTCTACAATAGGTGCAGACTTTACAATGTAATCAAAACAGAAATCACAGCACTTAGAACCTTTTCCTGTATTTCACTTTGTAGCTTTACCTACCACCAAAGCCATATTTGAGGTATTAGTGGAATTAGAATAGTTAAAAACCGTTAGTCTTTTTTATCCCTTTGCCAATGTAGATCTATCTATGTTATTGACAAAATCAGATTAAATATGAGTGTGAAAACCCAAATGAATACTTTTAATACCACGATTGCTGTGTCCGTTACAGAGAAAAAAAACAAAGTACCAGATATGTAAAATGATATCTTGATTGCTCAGACTAACAGCTAGTTATATTTAAAATAGCGCATGACTCGCACCTACGGTGCTTCAAACAGATCGTTGAACGTAAAAAGAGCTTCCTAAAACATGTACTAAAACAACGATATTTAATGCAACCGTGAAGATAAACCCAGCTTATCAATCAGGGGTTTCTATTTCATAAACGCCATATCTCGAAAACCAAAATGATTTGAGCAGTTCAAATTAGAGGGCTGATTTGCTACCCTATATAGTTCCCTGAAAGCATCTCACGACAGGGCTAGGAGTTTATTAATTGTTTTAAAACCTAACTAGCGTTTAACGCACCTCCGGTGCTTCGAAATTTTTCAACAACTCAAAAAAATATTCTTTGAGTGTACTCTGACAGCACCCAATTACAGGGTTCGTAATTACAAAATTCGCAAAGTTTTTTACACAAATTTTGAAGAACCATAAAATGCTGTGAAGTTTTGTATAAGTTCTTCGAAAAACTTAAAATGAACTAAGAAACGTCACATCTCGGAAACTGAAAGCAATTGAGCAGTCGTATTTGGACGCAAGATTTGCAACTCCTGAGAGTAACTTCAAATTTTGTAAAGTTTTTCATTCGTTTTTTTTTTAATTCAAATTTTGAAAAACCATAGAAATTTGTGACATTTTTTAATATCTAAGTTTACAATAAATTAAGAAACGTCCCATCTGGGAAACTGAAAGCAATTGAGCAGTCGCATTTGGACGCAAGATTTGCAACTCCTGAGAATAACTTTAAATTTTGTAAAGTTTTTCATTCGTTTTTTTTAATTCAAATTTTGAAAAACCACAGAAATTTGTGACCTTTTTTATATCTAAGTTTATAATGAATTAAGAAACGTCCCATTTGGGAATTTGAAAGCAATTGAGCAGTCGCAGTTGGACGCAAGATTTTCAACTCCTGAGAGTACTCTTACAGTATCCAACTACAACGTTTGGAAATTCAAATTTTGAAACATTTTATATATCTAAGTTTTCTGAAAAGTTTTAAGAAAAAAATCCAAAAAAAACGTCATATCGCGAAAACTACAAGGATTTGAGCAGCCATAATCAGAGGCAAGATTCGCAACCGCTGAGAGTACCCTCACAATATCCAATAACAGGATTGAGATCTTCAAAGTTTTGGAATTTTTTAAAATCTAAGTTTTTTTGAAAATTTTGGAGAAAATTATAAAAATTGTCATATCTCGAAAACTACAAGGATTTGAGAAGTGAAAATTGGAGGCAAGATTCGCAACCCCTGAGAGTACCCTGACAGCACCCAACTACAGGGTGAGAATTTCAAGTTCGGTTAGTTTTTTTATTTCCATGTTTTTGAAAAAAAAATAAAAAATAAAATAAAAAACCGCTACATCTCGAAAACCAATCTGATTTGAGCAGTCTATCTTAGACGCCAGCTCTTTAACCCCCAAAAAACACTGACAGCACCCCGCTAGAGCGTTGAGAAACTCTAGTTCAGTTTTTTTATTTCTAAGTTTTTTAGGGAAAAAAATCAGAAAAACACCTTATCTCGAGAGCCAATAGGATTTGAGCGGTCATACTTAGACGCCAGATTTTCAACCCCTGAGTGTACCGTGACATCAACCCACTATAGGGTTGAGAACTTAACATTTTGTTTGATAAATTGTGAAACAAAAAATTTGATAATTTTACGTTGCGAATATAGGAAAAATGTAGCGTTAAAGCATTCGCGCTCCAACAGATTTTAAAACGTCGACTTGAGTAACATTTAATCTCTTGCAATGCTTTGCCTTTTAACAGACCAGCATAGCGACTCCTCAAACATGTGCCAATTAAAATTTCTCAAGCATTAAGCTATACGATATAGCTTAAGCGAGCAAAAATTCTTTCATCAAACGTGCAAAAAATTATAGGCCAAAAAAGCTTTAACATGTCAACTTCTTAAACATGCGCCAAGTAAAACGCCAATTAAATAATGTATAAATGTATAGATTTCATTTGAACTTTTTTGTCAACTTTTGGAACCCAGAATGCAGAACATTAAAAATTAACCAGCTAAAAGCCTTAGGGGTTAAAGTCAACTGAGCTATGGCTATCTCACAAGAGCTCACCTCGCAAATTGCCCACGTGCGATCTGAACCCGCATTTACACAATTAAGGTCACGCCCGACTTTTACTGTGTTTCACCGGACAGATTTTGCTAATTTGCCTTCGTTTTTTCGGCAATTCAAGTTTTCCCGTAGGCTCATGATACCACTTTAGTAGTTTAAGAGTTCATCAAAAACATGCCGAAAATGATTTTGAGCATCAAATTTAACATCTATTACATGAGAAATCAATACCGTTTGTATAAGTATAAATTTTTGTCAGGACCACTGGAAATAGGGAGAAACTTTGTCTTCGGGTGTGTTTTAGTTTTTATTTTACTTTTTTTCCGACTAAAATCAAGTATCACAAACAGTTATCCGACTGGCCGAGTGATGGACAAAAATAAAGCCCATTCAATCGTGATTCAAATGACACCAAAAACTTTGCAAAAAAATTTTATGTCGAGAAAACTTGATTTGAAATTTATTGATTTTATTCTAATTTTGGAAATAAAAAACTTTCTAACAAATTCAAAAAACTTTCTGCAACAATCTCTTTTTCAATTTTCTGAGAAACAAATGCGATTGAATATGCCTAAAAAAGAATAAGTTCAAGACTTACGTTTAGATACTCATACTCTCATCACATTACAAACAAAGAAGACCAACTTTGAAAAAAAAACAGTATTATTATTAAGGTCGGAACTTTGTGCGCTACTTAAACAGCAAGTGACTATCCTTGTAATTGCTCTTAAGTTTCTACCGAGTATTTGTTTTGATTTTTGGAATAAGTTCAGAAAATTAAAAGAAAAGCAAGAAGTTTTGTGCACCAGGTGGTTCGCTTCTCGGCCAATTCCGGTGATCGCAATGATAGTATTTGACAAAAAAAGCTTTATCTGCTATCATTTTTTTTTGCAAAATTAGGGGTTCTGAAAACTACCAATTCCGGACTAATTAATACACGAATTTTAATATTCGACGAAAAAGAGATATTTATGCCCAGCGTGGTTTTTACCTATCAGACTTTTCGAACAAATAATTCGAGAAAAAAATTATATTTCGATACTCTGAGCTCCAAAAAAAACAATCAAAAGCTATCATTTTTCTTAGGACAGTTTAAAAATTTTTAATTTGAATTAGTTTATGCACGCTTCAATTCCAGCACATCCATAATCCGCGCCCAAAATTGTTCCAAACTGAATTGAGGCTAGCTAATTAGTACAGTATTATAATAAACGCAGATTATATTTGAAAAAACAAGCGGTGATTGATTTCGTTGAGGTTGACACTTACAAAAAAATCTAGTTTTTTAAATTAAAATTTTCAATTGAATTAAGATTATATATGGCAGTCAGAATATTTAAAATATTAACATGATTCCTATAAGTCTATTTAATCCGGCACTGAATTGATGCCTAAAATTAGTCCACATAATGCGTTATTAGACCACAAATATATCACGAAATTTTCTGTTTTCGTTTAAAGGCAATTGGAAAAACTACAACAGACGCAAAATTGAGCTTCGCACCTTTTGTGATATAAGGTAAGCAAAACATGGTTAACTAGCCCACAAAAAATGAGCCAGACTAAGTGTTTTTTTTTTAATATCGGAAGTTTGTTTCGATTTACCTCAAATGTAGTTAATTTGGGAAAAAAAACAATCCAAATAAGACAATTGAATAATAAATTAGCACCAGAACAAAATTTCTGCAGCAGTAACAATGCTGACAAAACGTGAGCGGACACCATTAGAGCAAAAAAGCCTTAAACCAAAATTTAAAAGCTCAAGTTTTCAAGCCCCCCTCCCCCCAAAAAAAAAACATGAACGCAAAACACTTTTTGAAACTCATCAAAAATGCAAAATGACGCCATTATGCCGATTAAAAGAAAAACGTAGAAAAATAAGTTTCAAAATCTCGGAAAAAAATGATTTTCAATTTTATTTCCACAAAACTCCGTCTTATCGCAAGATAAGAAACAATAATGGAGAACAGCGCCTAGATCATTAAGCTTAAATATCATAATTTATACATAACTTTTCATAAAATCTCATCATAGCAATTAAATTTCAACATATCAAAAACCTGCAAATAATTCACAGGAATAGATTAGTCTTTTTTTTAAGTTAAATCATTCCTGTGAGTTCACATGGCGGATACATGATGCAACAGCAGTTAGTAACTTCAAATCCGAATGGTCGATTCCGATTTGCTCCAGAACATTCTTCGGGTCCGGTTGGTCCAAAAGTTGGGACGTCAATGCTACACTTTTACTCACAATCAAATGTAATCCTCTATCAATTAAATTTGCGCAGCAGTATGTATGCATACCCATATTCAGTAGATTGTACGCATTAGTCAAAGTGTCGTCAACTGTTTTTGAAGTCATTTCATAACCAATCGTCTCCATTCGATCGCCTTTGTTGTCCAGAACTCTCAGCCACAATTTGTCAACATCAACACACAAAATATTAGGTCTGGAGTCCACAATAAAGTAAGTTTTGGACGCCTTTGTAACTTTGTCCAAACATGATTTCGGTTCACCAATTAGTCCCTGAAGCATTGCATCTTGAGAGAAACAGTTCGATATAGCACCTTGCAAAGAATGAGCAACGGAAGCTGAACGTCTAGTGCATGGATATACCGTTGGCGCGCACAGATACTCGCTCTCTATAAGATTCACTTCTTTATAACTCCTTCCACGACTCTGCTCCTCCGAAACCTCAGATAACATCTCGTTACTACTCGTTATGTGCGCCGAGGTTGTGCTAACCGATGACATCGATCTAGCCGATGTGTCATTCGATCGACTATCGAGAACAGTCACCTGTTTACCCTTTGAACTAACGTCGGCAAAACCAGAATCCTGCAGACTCCCGACGTTTACTGTGCCCTGGAAAGACAGACTCATCTCTCCGTCTCCAAAGTCATCGTACGTCTCGTCGTCCATTCGACCGACAGTATCCGAGAACTCTCGGTTCTCGTCGAGAGACCCCGCAGTTACACTTGAAGGTATCAATTTTATCGGAAGTTGCGCAGAATTTTCCGTTTCCTCTTTACGCCAATGACAAGTCCCCGTTTCACTAAAGCATTTTTTGCGAGAAGTGGCCTTAATTTGAATTTTTGAGCCAACCGGCTGATCACTCACTGAGTTTTCCATCCATTCTTCGACAACCTTTTTGGACCTTAAATTTGCAGGCATGGAAGCAACGATGCTCAAAGGGGAACTTTTCACAGGTACTCTTAAACATGTATTTATGTCATCACTATTTGCAATCGCAGTTAGTGGTTTTTCTTTTGAGCCTGAGCTCGGCGTGTTGCTTGATGCGTCGTTGTTTGCCGACTTACTGCTTTGATGACTTGCTTGCTTGATAGTGCTCGCTGAACTTTCTGATTCACATTCTGTCATCGAGCTCGTTAAGTATTTTCGTTTCGCAATCGTTGAAGCTACTTCACTTTTTTGATCACGATTAACGAGTTTTTCATCACAGCTGGTGACGTCGACCAATCCTATCTCAACAAATAAGTCGGTTGCCGCATCGCTTTTTTCTTGGTCGGAGAATGACCATTCTTTGACAGCCCTTATAGATGGCGTAATGAACTGTTTGAGATCTTCCTTAGCTGTTCTTGGAACCCTGCTGTTCGCTTTTTGCAATGGCGGAACTCGCACGTAATGTTTCTGCAACATATTTGGCCGAATAAAGTAAGAAATTAAGGTCAAATATTTTCGAACTAAAACAGAAGTACTTTTTTATTGCATTTTTTATCTGACAAAACAAATCATTGGAAATACTTTTTTTTGAGTTACCTGCCGTGTGATTTTTTCCATGCACCACAATTTTATTGCACGTTGGAGGGTTCATAGCAATTCCGAACAAGTCGCACAGCTGAGCCCACATTTTGTTAACACGGGTCAAACTACCTTCACCTACCAACTCCTTCCAGTCACTTTTGGCCGAAACATCACCCACAATATGTACCCAAGAAAGGTGAAAGGTCAGCAAAATAGTCACACAAAGGGAGAGAAATTTGACCTCTTTATTAGATAGACGACTCAAGCAAGTTGTGAAATGCTTGATTGATTCTATTCTTGAGTTTTTGTTCACAATTCCTAGCCACACAGAGGGTTCGGGGCGATTTGACTCAGGAACCACCGTTCTGATAAGTTGTGTGAAGCGGCTTCGTGCTAAAAGAGAGAAAAACATAAAAAGTGAATTCTTCGATAGTTTCTTAGACTAGATTAATAATAACGGTAGCAGATAAAAAATTGTTCCACTCATTACAACGTTATTCGAAATTTTATCATTTTTTTAAGATTTTTTTCTCAATTATTGATTGTCGAAGCTCACCTCAAAAATGCGCTCAACTATAATCGATACCAGCATAAAAACATGTTCCGGATGACTTTTTACTGCTCAGTAATTGCAATTAGTCGACGTAGTTTTTTTTTAAGATTAAGGCTCAATTTAATCATTTAACCTTGCAGAGTTGCTTCGTTGACCAGCTCGTAGAACATGTCTTTCTGGAAAAAGGCTCTTTCCACTTCCGATTTGAACGAATCCACGAATCCTTCTATTATTGCAATGTGCGAATGAATCCATTCTGCGGTATGGAAAGTTGTACACGGGAACAGAATTGCGAGTCCCAACTTCGCTTTTGACCTCTGAGTTGATGAGAAGTTGAACATGGAAAGGTCAGACATGTCATGAAACTTAAAAATAAGAAACTTGTTTTAAATTTCACTTCTACATTTTTTCTTCGTGAAAAATGACGTGGGCAAAACTGGGATGTACTAACCGTTGAGTAGAAAGGCGAAACGGTAGCTTGCCATTTCTGCCTTGAAACTGAAGACACGTGACTGCTGACAACAGAATGGTTAGAACTAATTGGCATGTTCAGGGTATCCGACGAGTTCCCCAAGGAACCTACGGGACATGAACTTCCATATATGCTCATATTGGCCCAAGGGTCGTGGTGCATGTAGAGACTTGAAAGAGGAATCGGCAAACATTGAAATTCGGTTTCCGAGTCGCCCACAACGTCGAAAGATGCAGAGCGGGAGACGTCTAAACCCGAATTCATTTCATCATCGTCACCATTTCGCATGGCGTCAGACCTATACCTCGAGGCACTAGGATCAAATTGAGATAAGTAAGAAATCATGATGTAGTTGCAGGAACCTCCGACTGATGTTTTCACGTCTGGGTGAATCTTCAGAGTGCATCCATGATACACCATATTCATGGACCCAAAAATCATCTCACAAATTTGTTTTGTATCTGGCTGCGGTTTGAAGATTTTTTGAGTTACTTTTTGACTCTCTGCTTTATTTATTGCTTGAACTTGAGCTGTCTTGGATAGTGGTTTATTTGAGCTACGACCGAATAAATCGATCGAAGATGATGACGTTCTTCTTTCAAACGATTTTGTGAAAAATGATGATTTAGTAGCATTTTTGGAAGATGTTGAAGAAATAGATTCTGGTCTAAGGATAGATTTTGAGTCGTAAAGAAGTCTTCGGATATCAGCGTCAAGAAATACAAGAGATCGAATAGATTCCACTCCACTCATTGTTTTGTAACTTCAAGTAACGCACTTCGTTATTTTCATTTCATAAATGCAACTGAAAAAATCAATAGTCTTTTTGCGCTAAACCAGGCGCCCTTCATTAGAAAATACGAGAAAAAAATACGAATGAGTAGCAAATTTTATTGTTCCGACCATTGAAAATGGGGAGGAACTTAGTATACGGGTGTACTTTAGTTTTTTCTTCTTATTTTCCATGCAAAATCAGGTACAACAAATAATCATCGGCCTGAGTTGAATAATATATCAAATTGAAGCCATTCAGTCGTGATTCAAACCACATTTAAAATATTCCGAAAAAACTTCCCAGTGTCGATAAAAACTGGTTTGAAATTTTATTTTTCTTCTCATTTTGAGCAAGTAAAGCGAGCGAGCAGACTTGTCTATGCTTAATTTAAGCCGTTAACAATAACTTATTTATGTTACTTTTAGTTTTACTCGAACAAAGTCAGTTTTTGGGAGTTTTTATCGCCATTTTGGTAATCAAAAATTGAATCAACATGGAAACTTTTTTGATTTTTTATTGACTTTTTTTTGTTTTTCTTCAAAAACTATTCTCAGATTTGCCTATTTTACTTTGACTGTCAAACAATCCTAATTTCTAGTTTTTTGTTCAGTTCCTTTTATCGCAAAAGCCAGAAATAACGAAGCTAATTTTAAATAAAAAACGTTTTTGTCTTTGTAACAGCTATGGTCGAAACATTCTGTACTACTCGCACAAAAATCAACTATCATTGTTTTAGTTTCTAATTGCATTCCAATTACAACGGTTTCATTATACTTGTTCGCAGTTAAATATATATATTTTTTTCATTTAGCAGAGAAAAGAACTTAGCTTCTAAAGAACTATTAATAGCTAATAGCTTTATACTAATAGCTTTTTGTATAGGTAAAATGAATTGTTTCTGTCAAAATACCACAGAGACAGACTCTTATCCTCCATGTATTTTTTCTCTAAATCAGTCTAAATATCATATTTTCTACCAGCTCGAATCATGACAAAAAGGGCTTGTATATAATTAATAAATCCACCTCATCTGACGTTTATTTGTGCGACCTAGAGTTTCAAGGAAAACCACTTCAATACAAACACTCTTGATATTTATTCAAGAGCAAATAGAGTAGTTGTTTCAGAACTAGTTAGGGTTAAAAACTATTAATCACAGTTTCATTTAGTTGGATATCGGGTTTTTTTTAAAGGATTCTTACAAAGATATCTCTGATTTCTTCACAATAGTTCCTTGACAAACTGATTTTCATAACTATTTTTTTAAAATTTTACGATACCAGTATTTTTTGCAAACAGTTTAATTTCGTTGATTTTTTCAAAGAGTCATGATGTTGATCCCCTTTTAGAAAAAATTGAGGATTCTCCAATTAACAGGATTCTGTGGTTCACGATTTTTTGGAGCTTTGAGAAAAATTAACCATTGACTATAGTATACTGATATTTCCTAAATAGGTAACACATGATCCAAAACACTGGCTTTGATGAGAAAGTATACAACTATTTACGGCAGAAGTATTGACATGAAAAGCGTTCTGCGGCGAAAATTTTCATGATTTGGTGCTCTGCACTGAAATAATAGCGGATTTTTGAGATAAAAGTAATAATAGGATTTCACTCGTATCTGTTGACTCCCAATTTCATTTTTGACCTTAATGCATAAAATGCGAGTTTGCAATATGAATACGAGCTGGTCATTGTTTTGATTTATCAAACACAAACAATTGGTCCGAACTGAACAGCCATTAATAGCTCTTGAAACATCGGCTTCAATCGCTGTTTTGACTTTCTACCTGACTTAATTAACACAATTCTCATTTTATCTACACAATTCGAATTTAAAAAGCAGCACAGCAAGCAGCTCATCGACTAAAATATGAAAAACACAGAGCAGTTGTTAACTTCTAAGTTGTGACGATCAATTCAACTCAATCAATTGATAACACGTGTTATATAGCTGCGAGTTACACGTTGACCAATGCACTTTTCACTACATTAATACCATTACTAGCCATTAATAATATATTACAATAAGTAAATAAAAACAAGTTAGAAAGGTACGAAAATGATTTTTATTAGCAACGCTTGCACTTAAATGTTCATATAATGAGCTTTCTTGCTACTACAATATCATTACAACGCCATGCGATTAAATTCAAACCAATCACATAACTATCGTCAATCTTTTTCACGCCGTTGCTAAAATATCAGATATTTTGGTGGTAAGATTTAATTGAGCTTGTGGTAGCATATTTTGCTCATTACTGAAGTTTAAACTATAACTATTTGAGCCGAAAAAATTGTAAAAACAAAATAATACTCGAAGTTTATTCGTAAACATGTACTTGAAGATTTTGTGCTCCAAAGTCAGATAAACTAATTGACAGAAAACTGAAACTTAGCTTGCGGTTTTTTAGTCACAAAACGACGCATTTTGACTCACTGAAGAAACAAAGACAGTAATATTTGATTCGTTTTAACAAAACAAGCGCCAAAACGCCACGCTGCAACACAAGATTAAAAATTAATGCATCAGCAGCAGCAAAGCAGCAGCACTTTCTGTTTTTAATTCTCTCTTTTTTGTCACTTTGGTCCTGCGTATCATTTGACAAACGTTTAAGCATCGATGAATGATTTTATGACTACTAACTGTGGTCGTTTTTGATCGATGCTTTCACCTTTTTTTCTCACTTAAACATACGTTGTTCTGGTTGTTTAGTTAAATTTATGAACACAATTAGCCGAGAGAATTTCTGCTTTTCAATGATGGTATTTTCATTTTTATTTTTACGACGTTGTCCGTCCAGTGCGCTTAATGCAGTAAATTTTCAGATTTAGATGAGATTACACTTCGAATGCAAGTGTTTTGAACAATAAACAACAACATCTAGCAAGCTCTTGATTTCTCTCGTTTTGTCAATCGCCTACCAATCAATCGATCGGCACAACAAAGCTTTTCTATTGTTCACCAAAGCCAAGTAGCCGACCGAACGAACCAAGTCCTCGTATCACCGAAACCACATCTCAAAAACCAATCATATATATTTGTTTTCAACCACCAAACCGAAAGTTTAGAAAAACCTCAGCGGACACCGACAACCTTTGATATCTGACCGTTGTTTATTTATATATTTCATATCAATTTCTTTCATTTCGTAACTTCTCGCATGGAAGGCAGTAAAAAAGTGAGTAGTTTACTTGAATTTTTATAGGATTATCATATACCGTGCATCGACGTAATTGTTTTTATTATATCCCATCTACTGAAAACTTAGGACTACGGTTCGATTCCCGATAAGTCGTGACATATTTCTCCGCATAGCTTGTGGAAATAGTTTCGTCAGATCATAAAACTTTTCTTTGCATCACTTGCGAAACAAAACAAAAAAAGTATCACAAATTGAAAAAAAAATTAAAAAATTATTAAAAAGGTATAAATATACATATTTCAAATATACATATTCTCGAGAAGCATTTAATTAGGTACTATCCTCAAGATAAACAGAATTAACACGTAGACGAAGCACCACTAGTGATACAACACAACTGGTCGACACAAAATGAAACAGACAGACACAGCATGCGTTTAAAAGAAACTATGTCGAAAACGTATCTTGTTCGCGTCCACTTGTTTCTCTTTTGAGCAAACAAATCTTTTAAGACACATTCCAGTGTTAAATTAGCAACCAAACCCAATTTACGCGGCCATAACTAAGCCCATAATACTTAGGTCGACACTGGAGTCGAAAAAATATGTGCATAAAATATGGAATTTTTATTTGCACATGTAGTTAAGGTTTGCATATTGAGGTAAACCACTTTGCCCGAATCCGCCCAAATATCAAGTGCTATAAATATGAACTGAATTTCACTTTTTTAAACTACAAAAAAATATATTTTATCAGCAGTTTCCGTTTATTAAATTTGAGGCTAGAATCGATTTCAACCAAAAACACAGCCAGGCCTTTAAAAACCATGTTCAGAAAAAAAGCACAAAAAGAAGACTATGATAATTGTGTGGTGATCAAATTACGGGTAATTGAACTTGAGTTTTCATGAAGTTGAGCATGTCAGCGTTCTGAACTGATGCAATTGAAAATGTATCTGTTAGACTAGACCAGTTGTTTACAGCAAGCAACATCTAGCACCTAATTTAATAGGTAGATTATAGCACCCTGAACGAAAGGGTAACATAGCTAGTGTAATCACTGTTTATCTCTCGGATGAGAGAGTTAAAACCATATAAGTGCTGATTAACAGAACAAATAGATGCATTATTGATCTTCAGCCAGAATTCACGACAAACTTTGGTCTGAAGAAAAATCAAAATTATCAGACGCAGCAAACCATTAAGACCATTGGAGAGCAAACAACACAGTTTAGAATCTCAACTTGAATCAAGAACCTCTTGTGTTATATTCCGTTAGCTAAACGTGCAATCCTCTCGCTCAAAACATGATGTCTTGTCTTAATGTCGGCAAATCTTGTTCTTGATTTCTTGTAAGATTATCGAACCATCGGCTAGTCTGACTTTTCTAGGGATTTGACCCACTGTCGACCCAAAGATTTGGCTGATTGGCACTAAAATTTTATAAGTGCCAAGGGCGCTAATATATACTGATTTATAAAGAGAGCTCGCACCAAAAAAGCTATTTTTTGGTTAAAAACCAAAAAAGGCCTTTAAACGCGCTTTTGGATTGTTTTTTTTTCAAAAATTTGCCCGCGGCGCAGAACAATTGGTTAAAGTGGGCTTATAGTGATTTGGGAGAGCTCAGAAATTCAATTTGGTCGACCTTACATAAATTTTTTTTTGAAAAACCACCCCCCTCGAGAAAATTCTAAATCCCCCCCCCCCCGAGAAAATTCTAGATCCGCCCCTGCCTCTAGATCTTACAAAATATGTGAAGTCTCCATTTGAATTACAGACGTCAGTGGACATTAAGACAAACAACAGGTGGTAATATGCACTAAAATAAACATGTCATCTTCTCTTCATTCACACCTTGAGAAGCGAGCATCGCTCGTGTGAAAACAAAACAATTGAACACCTTTGGTACTAACCAGAACAAAATTTACACCACAGCAGAAAACAAAATACTAGCGAGTTAAGAAGCAAGCGAAGCCGCTAACAATTCCAAAAGATACATTTAAAAAAATCATTTCGATGACTAACCAAAACCATGGCCATACTGCCCGATCCGTGCCAATGTAGACTGACAACAGATAATTGAACCTTTTGAATCGAAAAAAACTTCTGTCCACGTAAATAGAACAAGAAAAGGCAAGAAAGGGGGGGTCAATTGTTAAGTAGATTAAAATAACGCATTTTCGACCAATCAGATTGCAGCAAAATTATAATTCTCAATAAAAAGCTGTCCTAATTTACTGCTTTTATTAATAGGGGCGGCAATTCTTAAGTGGAAACCAAAGGGGGCGATTGTTAAGTAGATCCGAAAAACCTGTCGGTGAAAAATCGTCCCAAATATTTACGAAATTATGAGCGGCAAGGACAAGACGCCATTGCAACAAGTGCAGTTTTTTCTTGCCGCAATGCTTGTTATTTACTTTATTTGGACTCTTTTTAGACAATTTTTAAGATCAACATATCGTTGGTTAGATGATGTGTAGCTCTTTGACGCATTGAGATTACACATGAAGCTGAATACTAAACAAATCGATTTTATGACAAGTGTTCACTTATCTCTCGTATAGTAGGCCACACGTTTAATTATTGAAACAGCAATCATAAAACAATTATTGGCCTTAAATGCACACCTACAGTGGTATAATCGATATGTTGCATAAGAAGTAAGTACTTCTTTCATATTTCCATAGAATCAGAACACTGATTTCGATTAATGAAATATTTGGTTTACATGTTTTCGTCATACTTATTTGTACATAGTTCTAATGGCCGTCATGACATGATAATAGCAGTGGTTAGTTATACTTAACTCATTCATTATAATATTTGAATATAAGACCTAGTTCAATATAAATAGATAAATAACTCGATGCGATCTTTCATTTTTGGTCCCATAACTATAGCAATGATTGCAATGGTGTTGAAAGCATTGCCTCTTGTCAAGTTATTCCAATGAGACTGAAATTTCATTATCTCTTTTGGTTGATTAGTATCTTACTTCCGTCTTAGGAGAATCTAGAATAAGGTGAGAACATATGAAACTATTGCACTTCCTCGGAGAGAATTGCATACATACACTCCAGGTTTAAATAAGCTAAGTATATACAAATACAATTTTGTGATTTGGTTCATTTAATTTATTAAAGCTGTTTTTATTACAATCTTCCGATACCACCAACATTGCCCGACTTTTTCTGTTTGCAATTGTTGGCAGGGTTGCTTGATTGTGTGGTATTTGAAGCAGACGAAGTATACAAACTAGCTTCCATATAAATCAACCGAAATTACTTCTCACCTACCAAGCGACAACCAAGACAAGCTACAGGAATTAAAGGTCCCAAAAGCTCCAAAAGTTAACACTTGGTAAATTATATTTGCCTTATTGATTGATAACTAGAACAACACTTAGTTTGTTATAGACAGTCATAGCGGGGAAAGGGCAAAATAGGATCGGGAGTAGGAATACAAACTACACTACAGATTGTTTGAGCCCGAATTACAATAACACACAATACTCGACAAAAACATTAACACTATAACACACCACGCGAATTGAAGTGCAAATGAATTAATGTATAACACAATTTGTACATATATTGCAAATCTTCCCGAATCAGATTATAGGTCAGTTCCGGAAAATATCATTCTTGGTGTTTTCTTTTTTCGGGGAATTGCAGAATGGTGGGTGCTAAGTTACTGTTTGTATAGTAAATGATTGACTTGAATTCTGGGGGATTATAGGAATTAGTTCGCAGCACACGTCTGTAATTGTGGGTCAATACACATCTGCATAAAAACACACACACACACCATACAAATCAACGAACCACGTGGTTAATTTCACCCGAGGCTGCTGAAAACGATCAAAATAGAGACAAGTGATTTTTATTCCAGTCACATACTCAAAACCTCGGCTTCCGCAACAGCCTATAAGTTATTGGGTGGTGTGTCAGTAAACCGATGTATCAGCAACCCGAAAACCGGCAGACCAGATCATTAAGCCGAAAAAACTAATTTACCTGATCAGTAAACCAAAAAATGAAAAAAAGTGTTCATTAAACCGATAATGCATTTTTCAAACTAATAACGTTTATTATTAGTTGACCCTAAACTTGCCAGAAATCATGCGCAACAATGTTGTAAATAAACTTAAGAACTGATTTTTTTTGCAGTCAATAAGCGTGAAAAGCCTTTCAATTTAATTCTTTGATGCATTTTTAAGCTCATTCGGTACTTAATATTAGGCAACCGTTACGTAATAGTTTCATAATTCGATTTAATGATACGGTAATTTACTGACACATCGATTTACTGCACCCACACCAGTTATAGTTAGACTGATCATAACTTATTACTACACTCACTACTATTTACACCAACCGACACCATAACACCAACCCTTGTATGTCGTCTCTTTTTAGCGGATTGTAATTTTATTTGGGAATTTAATTTGAATAAAGGCTACCGACAACGACTGTCTAGAAGTTATAAATCCATAACCAGTTATAAGGCAGATTCCAAATATACCATACAATAATGACCATTCAAACAGACATGCTGTAACATTTAGGAGCAGCAGTAGCAGGCCACTTAAGTTAAGTATTTATTTCAATTCAGACCAACTAAATACCAGAGGAGCAATGGTATAAGTGGCAAGTCGCAAGTACAACGAATATGGTAGAAAAGTTTAGAAGTATAAGTGTAAATAGTTCTAGTGAATAGGTTGTAGTGGTGGCGGCGGCGGCAGCTAAAATGAGAAATATGGTACTAGTAGTTAGACTAAGAAAGTAATCGTAATGGTAATATAGGAGCAGTCTAACTAGAAACGAATAAACCGATGCCATCGCGAATCAGTACATATCGACACTATACTTAGTCGCCCACACTAAATTTGATCAAATGATCAAACATTAAGCACACTTGCACCCAACACTTCTTTTATCAACACTTTTATTAACACCAACACTTCTTTACTATTTATTACCAACTTATAATCTATCTTTACTTTAACTTAACTTGAAGCACCATTTCAAGTCCACACATTCTGGGTAAACACAACACCAAACCAAAATTCAATTGAACTACAATCCTCAATTCAATTCAAATTTCATTCCCTATTTAATTCGCTTGTCTCAAACTTTGTCAAGTGAACAACACGTAATGACCTGATAATATATGAGCGCAGCAGACAGACACGAACTTTACTTTATGACACCACAAGCACTCGACTGTTGAACAAACGAATGAACACAAGACAACAAGCAGGACTACTAACTAACTAACTAACCATTCAGCTAACAGTCGATACCAATTGAATAGCAAAAACCTCTTGCTCTTACAGCCTTGATAGTAGTTACCACACCATTCGCAATGCGAGTGATAGTAATAATAGTTATAACTGGCTGAGGGTTAGTTTGTTTCAACTTAAACTAGCTAGCAGTCAGTCAATCAATACTACCATAACCAACATTAATTCCAACAGCAACTCCAAACCACACTTTTAGGCTGACACTTAGGCCATGTTTGGCAAATTACAATTACAAACACCCACCCAAACTCTGTCAACATCCATTTAACGCATATATTCTCAACTGGGTCCATTTCATTCAACTCAGCTGTCAACCCTAGTTAAACTAAACTCATCTCAAGTTTCATCTAAAACCCTCTTCACTTTTATTCGCCTGCAGATAATCGATGAGCAATTTATCTGGGTTTTTAACCGTACGCATCATCACATTATTTGGTAACAACTAAATAAAGACACGTCTATTCAAAAAAAATGTAAGTCAATCAATTTTTATTTTAAAAATGATGGTACAGTTTTTGTGTTCTGATTTTGTACCACCACTGACAGAGAATTTTTGGGACTTCACTAAAAATAAATATTCTCATCAAACAACAGCGAGAAAAAAACGTCTCTTCTGGCAAAAAAGCATTTTCATAGATAATTAATTTATATCAAATCGTCATTTTGAAAAAACTAAATGATCTATCAAAAAAAAAAAACACTATGAAAACAGTTCAGATATCGCAAGTGGAGAGTTTCCCCTGTGAATGAACAAAAGTTTGCAAGATATGGAGTAAAACAAGCAAAACCATTGATTGGTAGATTCAAATGCATTACAAGCATAAGCGAATCGTATGTTTGCATTGGTAATCTCTGCTCTTGGTGTTTTTGGGATTTCTCTCTGCTAATCAAACATCAACTGAACTGACAATGAGCATCGTTCGATTAACTTAACCGAGCAAACAGTTCTTCTTTCTCATTTCGGGTCGTTATCGACAGATCAGAAAAGAAACTTAGCAGACATGCTGTATTTACATCATCCTATTTATCCGATTCTTCATCCTATTTTGCAGGCTAGGTTGAATCAGTCAGCTCAGCTGTAAGAAATGGTTCTGAAACCGCACACTCACACAAAAAAAACAGTTTGATAAACCTTAATTAATTTCGACCAAATGAACTACATAAAAATATTTTCAAGACCATTTATCCACGAGGGAAAGGACCAACAGACAGGCTTTACAGCTCATCATGGCAAACCGCTGTTGTGCCCCTGCTTAAGAACTACATGAACGCTTTAAAATTTTCAAGAAATACATGCAAATAGGGATCAGCTCTTCCATTAGGTTAAAAGTATTATTTTTTAGCTAATCAGATTTGAGCATAGTACATGCAGGCCTTACTGATTGAATTTTTGATTTCACTTTAGGGGTGATTGTTCACTTGGTCTATTGAAGGGAGGGATTGCTCAGATGGGCCTTAGTTTTATTAGTTTTTATTAGTGAAAGTTACTTAAACGGACAATGAGAAGAAACGATCATTTTTATTAGAGGGGGAAACCTACAAATCAGTTGTGTTTTCTATCCATTTTTTGCAGAAAAACTATCAAAAACTGACGAACTTGAAAATAAAAATTGAATATGGAATCACACATTAATTGGATCTGATCAAATTTTGTGAGGGTTCTTTTCTTTCCTTTTAGATTATTATCTGCACCTGGCATTTTTTTAGGCAATCCTGCTAACATAACTCAAAAAACAGGAGCAGACCTTTCGAATGTTCAAATGAAATAAGACGAGGTCAACTGAAAAGGTCATTTTCTAGTTGAAGAGAAGCATCGAAAAAAACTAGTATATTTAGAGTACCAATACCAATATCAGTTCAGACTTGCCTTAATTGAATCAAATGGTCTGTTCAGGAAATAATTTACATGTCATACTGAAGAGAATATATACTACTATGCTATGCTAGTTGCACTGACGCATCCATCGTACATGAGATATCTTGTCTATCACTTGAGTTTTAAACAAATCCAAGTTGAGCTAAATTTTTAAGGTGCGTAATGGTCTAGTCTGTTTGAATGTGAACTAATCCTCAGCTAAAATCAAATCAATTCTACTCTTAATCTGTCTGCATACTACAGTTACATGTACATGACTGCACTTAGGGTTGATTTGATTGATGGTCATTATGATTTGATGGCCACCATTTCCTGATCATAGTTGTCTGAATTTAGATACCCAAGGATCCCGTGCAACCATGTCAACTCCTAAGATTCTCCTAGCTCCTAGAACATGCAATGGTATAACACTTGCATTATTATTCCACTCCACCAAACTTCCATAATATAAAGTGAAAAAGTCATGCACAAAACACTAGGACATTATTGAGTGATCAAGAAAGCATCGTGTTGTTTAAAGTGTAATTGAGGCATAAATTGTGGTTGGAAGTTGTGGGCATTGGTAGGCCTATGGCTAAAATAGAGCTGAACAAACAAACATATTTCTACATAGTTAAACACCATTCACCACACAACACAACACAGAACTCACTTACTAATTGTGTACTAAACAGAACATACAATCTCTCTTACTCTTGAGTCTTTTCTCGACATATTAGTTAGTACATAAAGATAACTAGCAGAATATAGCAGCCAGCAGATCATAGATTAGTATTACTTTATTACTGTGATAGAAACGATACAGATTACAAAAAGTAGACTTAGCAATAGAATGAATTGAGCACATAGAATTCTCTCATAGAGCATATTAAACAGAATTGTTCAATTGAGAACAGATCGAATCAAATCATCGATCGAATCATTACTAAATCATACTATTTTATAGTCCTCAATAATTGCCTATCTATTTAGTGTTCTCCTCTCTTTTTTGCACCTTTTATCACCCACTCAATTAATTACACAAACCAACCTGAATTTCACAAATCAAATTTATTCAAGGCAGAAAGCCACTCAAAAGTCAGTTACTATAAGTCATGAAAATCATAAAACTTTGCAGCTTCTATCCATGTGTAACAACTCAAAGGTAAGTTATCGCGTTTCGAGACTTCCAATTCAATCCACCAACTAATTTGTCACTTCAATTTTAAATTTTTGAATTTTACAAAATAACTTGACCAGGATTATCAGATTCTAAAATTAAAATCCACTTTGTATTTCAGATTTTGATTCACAACTGACAAAAAATCTACGAATGACTTCGACAGCGGAACAGAAAAACCACGTGACAACTTGATCTCAAGCCACTGTTATTAACAAGAATCATCTTCAGGAGCAAACCACTTATTAACTCACTTATTGGAATATCAGAATCAAATTGAATCGGGATTGGGATCGAAATGATGAACCCAGCCACAGCTCCATCATACATGCAAGGATACCCAGGGAACCCTAACATGCAGATGCAAGCTATGGGCCAGCCTAACATGATGGACTCCTCGGTAGCAATGTCTCAGGGCGGGAACCCCGGAGGTGTAGTAGTCACATCATTCAACGGGGGATCCTCCACTTCCAATCCGTCTCACATGTCCGTCCAACAAACTCCCAATGCCACTGTGATCCCAACTGGCATGTCCAATGGCCATATGATGACCTCAGGACCTCCCGGATCCCTACCCATGCACATGACTCGCCAGGTGCCTCCAAATGGAGCCATGTACCCAGCCGGACACCCTGCAAACATGGCCATGATGAAAGGTCACGCTGTCAATCCGAACGCCAAATACGCTGCAGGCCCTATGATGCCAGCGGGCATGAACGGGAACCCTCACAATGCTGCAATGATGATGGGAAACGGACCAATGAGTGCACAACAGATTGCCATGTATAGCAACAACAACACAGTGCCATACAGTCCCCACGGAATGTACCAGCAACAGTTCCCAATGGGGGCAATGGGAGGCGCTTCTCAGCAACGGGGGATGCCCAAACAGATGATGGGCAACCAGATGATGATGAGTCAAGAAATGGCAGCAGCAGCCGCAGCACAGCAGAATCGAGTGATGAATTCCATGAACGGAGGTCCCCCCAATGGAATGAATAGAGTCGGGGGACAACCTCAAAACGGAATGAACCCGAACATGTATCCACCGGGACAAGTTCATATGAATCCTCAGCAGCAGCAGCAGTCCATGCAGACACAGCACATGTTTCAAGGCATGGTTCCCAATAGCAGTCATTCCATGTCAACTCAACAACAGCAATCTCTGAGCATGCAGCAGTCAGCATCAATGGCAGCAGCAGCAGCCGCGCAGAACGGCGTCTCAACCGCCAATATGAACGCCAACATGCTGAACCGACAACAACAACAGCAAAAACTGATTGCTTTACAACAACAACAACAACATTTCCAGCAACAGCAGCAGCAACAACGGGTTTCGCAACAAATGGCAATGCGACAGGCTATCACACCACCAGCAAACCTCGGTAGCGATACGAGCCAAGGTATGATGATGAACCCAAACTACCCCCAAGGTCCTATGCCAATGGGGCCTAATGGCCGACTAACAATGAAAGATCAGCAAAATAGTTCGATGGGTGGACCAAACAGCATCAATGGACCTATGCCCTCGCCTGCTTCTGCTCAACAGCAAATGACAGCTTCAATGACGATGATCGGAGCGCCTCATTCAGTTCCTGCGAGTCATGAAGTGATGCCAGTTTCACCTCAAGTCCAACCCAACCAATTAGGTATGCATGGTCAAAACATGGGGTCCATGAACCCTCTGATGACGTCAGCGAGCAAAAGACAGACGGCGACGCCTCCGAGCGCCAGTCCCATATCGAACCAACATCCGATGAACAATCCAGCACAGCATCCGAACAACAATTCCTCCTCTTCTCGCGCCACTCCTAGTCCAATCCATCAACGCAAACATTCGTCGTCTGCTTCACTAAAGCGACGGTCGAGCTCCACCTCGTCATTCAACAACGACTGCAACAATCCAAACGACCCCAACAAACCCTCGTCTAACAACGCGACAGATGATATTTCGGGAGAACCCAGTAAGATCTGCCGACTGTCCTCATCGACGAACATCGATGCGACTAATCCTATGAGCTTTAACTGCACGACCAACAACGCCACCAGCATTCGAAATCCCATGTCCACTGGGGGTCCGAGTAGTACTTCGTACAGCACACTTACACTTTCTCAGCTAAACGACAACAGTCGAAAAGACAGTACGTGTAGTAGCAGCAACACCGACACTCACAGCAGTCCCGACAGTGGAATGGGAGACTCAGTAGGCGAGAGCAGCAACGTCTGTGGCATGAACAACACCAGCAACAACAACAACAACAATTCTCAGAACCCGCTTAGCAGACTAATGCCGAGCAACAACAACAACAACAACAACAACAGCATCCGAACCAGCACTGAGGAGATGCTTGAAAACCTGATACAGGAACTGGGCATCGAGAAACTGGACCACTTACCCGAATTGGTCGACATTTTTTCAGATTGCAACGACTCCGTATTTTCCTCCAACACGACATCTTCAAACACGACAAATCCGAATCAAACGACAGCAAGTCACGGCTACTCAACGACTAACAATTCGGCAAGCTCCACTTCTGCCACAGATACAAAAATGAAACAGTCGCTTTTGAGTTGCTCGGCTCAGAGAACCACTAACCCAATCGGCCAAAAATGTTAAACGAACAAAATGACAGACAAATGAGAAATAATTTACAAATAGACGATGGAAAGATGATTATAAAAACTAGTTTTGTACTAAAACAAATAAACTTTGCAAATATGTTGGCCATCGACTTTTCGTAATATTTAAATGTCCATTTAGGTTTCTTTTTCTTTCTTAAAATATCCCATATTTAATTCTAAACTACTGCTCACATTCTTTTGACAGAAGTGCCACCGTGTACAAAAGCAAGGAAATCAAACTAAAATCAACGAAAAATCACAGGATCCGAGATCAAGACCTTAAACAGTAAACATTTGTAAATTCAACAATTCCACAAACTTAAAATTGTAAAATGAATATAATTTTTTAAAGAAAATGATGCCCGTAAATGAAGCCGTGATAACTCTGAAATTAAAAAGTGATAACCAGTTGCTTTCCAAATAGCAAAAAATATGCAGACCTCAAAAAACCTGTTTTGAAAAAAAAAAACGTTGAAAACGAAAAAAAAGACAGGCAATAATAGCAAAAACTTTAAAAAAACAAGGATAGCCGGTTACTGTGCAAGTAGCACTGAAAGTTTCACAAAAAAAAACATTTTTTTCCAAATGAGTGTTACTTTTTTGTTGTGTAATAAAAAGATCTGAACGAAAAAAAATAGGCGTTTTCGATAGTCATGGTCGAATAGACCAGTTTCAAAACATTTTTTGTAGAAAAATGACTAAAAATACGGAAACAAAAAAATGTTACAAAAGCCAGCTGTTATACTGTTAGCCTGCTTGCTCGCTTTACTCGCTCGAATTAAGACGAAAAACCAAAAATATCAAACCGGCCTTTCTCGACACAGGAAATTTTTTTGAATTTTTTTTCGAATCACGACTATAAGGGCTTTAATATGATATATCAGTAAACTCTCTCCGACGATTACTTGTGGTAGCTGATTTTGCGTAGAAAACAAAAAAAGAAAAAACTACAATACACTCGAATACAAAGTTCCTTCCCATTCTTCAAATGGTCACAAAAATACAAAGAGCTAGATGAGAAGTTCAGTCTCTCATCCATTCCACCGCGTAAATTAACCTGAAAATTATTCTGGCCATTGAAAATGGGGAACAACTTTAAATTCGGGTCCTTTGTTTTTTTTGTTCTTCACGAAAAATTAAGCACCACAAATAATCATCGGAATAGGTCGAGTGATATATCATATTACAGCCCTTTTGGCCGTGATTCGAGCGACCGTAAAAACTTCCACTGATTTGTCTCGGTGTCAAAAAAAAACTGGTTTGCAATTTAGTCTAAATTCGAGCTACTAACGCAATCGAGTAAGGCTTGTTATATAAAAATTGGTTCTGTAGGTTCAGAAAACTTGGTTTTACCAAAAACTAATTTTGTTTTGGATGCTTCATTTAGCGCTTCCTAGGCAGTAACAGTTTTCTACGGAGAGGAGAAGCAGAGTTTTGCATCACTTGCAATATAAAACAGGGAAAAAAATCCAAAATAGCGCAAAAACTAGATCTATCAAAATGAATAAAGCTAGTTTTCAAACCAAAATAGACCAAGACAAAAGAATGTGAAATAAGCTTTGGAAGAAATTTGTATCCAGCGGTAACAGAGACGAAAATACCTTGCCAGAAAACCTATAACCTGAATAAAACTCAAATTTAACTAAATGACATTTGAAAAAGTGTAATGAACGCAAGTAAACAGAAAAACACTGACTTTGTTGAAAAAATCTCAACTTTCGAATTTCAAAGAAAAAAAATAGATACCCTTCAAGCTCTTTGAATTTTTAGAACAATTTATGATTAGCGCTTTTCTGATAACATTAACCCAAATAGAGAAAACTGGATCAATAGCTAAAGTTTTTATTCCACTGGAAATCTAAAAATTAAATTCCGTTTTCGAAACAAGAAAATTTTCCTGTTTTTTCGCGCCATTTGGACGTTCGTATTTGGAGAGTGCTAATTACGTAACTTTCAGCAGATGAATTTCAATTGAACTCAGAAAGAGCATATATAAGTTAATAATTCGCCCTCGCCCTCAAAACACAAACCCTCAAAAAACTTTAATTGCTCTTCAAATCAAACAATATGAGGCCACTAAGCCGATAAAATAAAAGTCCAAACCTATAAAGCCCAAGAAAAAAAACCAAAACATTTTAAGACTTATAACAAATTATTAAGTCACCCTCACCCTCAAAATACAAAAAAGCATCGTTCATCAAAAGACGCACTATGAGACCGATATATCTAGGCTAGGCCGAAACCTATCAAGCCGAAAAAATGTTGTGATGAAAAACTTGAACTTTAATTTCTATGAAGATTTTCAGCATTGTGTGCGATTCAGAGATGAGCATTAAAAAATACTTCCGTTGAAATGACTCGAATAGGACGAAATCAAATGGGCAGAATAAAGCTTTTAAGCCAAAAAAAAAGAAACAAAAAAAAGAAAGTATACGAAGTCAAAGGTAAATCAAAACACTTAAAAATAAAATTTAAAAAGAAGAAATAACAATTCTACAACGAAAACTGCACACAGCAAAAAATTATAAGATGTGGCAATTAATTCGGCAAAACATTAACAGACAAATTATAAGCCGAATTGTTTTTTGAAACGGAGAACTCCCGTTTGAAAAAAAGGTCCCGGTCAAATTTGAACCCAGGATCTTTGCGATCCAGGCGTATTCTAAAAAACAACTAAAATTAAAAGTCCATACATCAAAAAAATCTAAGATGTGGCAACTAAGCTGACAAAACAAGCAGACAAATAAAAGCCGACATTTTTTGAAACGGAAAATTTCCCGATTGGAAAAAAAAGCAGATCCTGGTCAGATTCGAACCCGGGTTCTTTGTCAACCCAGGCGTATTCTAAAAAACAGCTGCAATGAAAACTGCATACAGCAAAAAATTCTAAGATGTGGCAACTAAGCCGAAAAAACCTAAGCAGACAATCAATAAGCTGACATTTTTTTGAAACGGAGAATTTCCCGTTTCGAAAAAAAAACAAGTCCTGGTCAGATTCGAACCCAGGACCTTTGCCGACCCAGGCGCATTAGTTACCTCCAGAACAAGTGTGCCCGAGACGCAAAAAAAACTAAATTCATTATGAACTGAACCTGAATTTACCATTTTAACTTATTTATTTACGAGAAAAAAGTCTACTAGTCGATTCCAATAACCTTGCTTATCGCAAGGGTAAAAAAATGGAAAAAGTTACTCGCAACACTGCATCCAATTTTAATTTGTGGTTCATGATTTTCCGCGAAAAATACCAGAAACCGAAGGTGCTACACAGCCAACAGACATTTAGAAAAGTGCCAATATACTCGAGAAAAACGATCAATTTCTATTTGAAAAAATTTCAAACCTTGAGTTTTTAAATGTTCTAAGTAAAACTGTATTTCAAAAATACTTTATAACTGACACTTCTATATTAACCGAATTTGAGCACACCAAATCAAGAAGTAATTTTTTTATTCAACTGGGAATAGTTTAAATTAAAATTTCCTTCTAAAACGAAGTCTATCGCGTTTTTTCGCACCATTTGAACTTTTGTTTCATAATACACTGTTGTTTTCACTTTTGTAAAAGGGCTGAAAAATTAGAAGAAAAATTAAATTGGCAAGAATGTGAGATTTCATTGGCTAACAAAGTATCAACAGGTCAAAATGCGCATTTGACGTGAGATTTCATTGGCTAAGAAAGTATGAGATTTCATTGGCTAAGAAAGTATCAACAGGTCAAAATGCGCATTTGACGTGAGATTTCATTGGTTAAGAAAGTATGAGATTTCATTGGCTAAGAAAGTATCAACAGGTCAAAATGCGCACTTGACGTGAGATTTCATTGGCTAAGAAAGTATGAGATTTCATTGGCTAAGAAAGTATCAACAGGTCAAAATGCGCATTTGACGTGAGATTTCATTGGCTAAGAAAGTATGAGATTTCATTGGCTAAGAAAGTATCAACAGGTCAAAATGCGCATTTGACGTGAGATTTCATTGGCTAAGAAAGTATGAGATTTCATTGGCTAAGAAAGTATCAACAGGTCAAAATGCGCATTTGACGTGAGATTTCATTGGTTAAGAAAGTATGAGATTTCATTGGCTAAGAAAGTATCAACAGGTCAAAATGCGCACTTGACGTGAGATTTCATTGGCTAAGAAAGTATGAGATTTCATTGGCTAAGAAAGTATCAACAGGTCAAAATGCGCATTTGACGTGAGATTTCATTGGCTAAGAAAGTATGAGATTTCATTGGCTAAGAAAGTATCAACAGGTCAAAATGCGCATTTGACGTGAGATTTCATTGGCTAAGAAAGTATGAGATTTCATTGGCTAAGAAAGTATCAACAGGTCAAAATGCGCATTTGACGTGAGATTTCATTGGCTAAGAAAGTATGAGATTTCATTGGCTAAGAAAGTATCAACAGGTCAAAATGCGCATTTGACGTGAGATTTCATTGGCTAAGAAAGTATGAGATTTCATTGGCTAAGAAAGTATCAACAGGTCAAAATGCGCATTTGACGTGAGATTTCATTGGCTAAGAAAGTATCAACAGGTCAAAATGCGCATTTGACGTGAGATTTCATTGGCTAAGAAAGTATGAGATTTCATTGGCTAAGAAAGTATCAACAGGTCAAAATGCGCATTTGACGTGAGATTTCATTGGCTAAGAAAGTATGAGATTTCATTGGCTAAGAAAGTATCAACAGGTCAAAATGCGCATTTGACGTGAGATTTCATTGGCTAAGAAAGTATGAGATTTCATTGGCTAAGAAAGTATCAACAGGTCAAAATGCGCATTTGACGTGAGATTTCATTGGTTAAGAAAGTATGAGATTTCATTGGCTAAGAAAGTATCAACAGGTCCAAATGCGCACTTGACGTGAGATTTCATTGGCTAAGAAAGTATGAGATTTCATTGGCTAAGAAAGTATCAACAGGTCAAAATGCGCATTTGACGTGAGATTTCATTGGCTAAGAAAGTATGAGATTTCATTGGCTAAGAAAGTATCAACAGGTCAAAATGCGCATTTGACGTGAGATTTCATTGGTTAAGAAAGTATGAGATTTCATTGGCTAAGAAAGTATCAACAGGTCAAAATGCGCACTTGACGTGAGATTTCATTGGCTAAGAAAGTATGAGATTTCATTGGCTAAGAAAGTATCAACAGGTCAAAATGCGCATTTGACGTGA